ATAAAGAAAAATCAATAATTTTCACCATTAAGGACTCAGCAGGGAACCCCACCAACTCACCGCAGGAAATAAATGAAATATTTAGAAACTTTTACGCCAAATTATACTCATCTGATAAAGACCCAAGACAGGAGGATATTGATTCATTTTTTAAAGACATTAAACTTCCACAACTTAATACAGATCAGGTCAATACACTCGACTCACCAATCACAGAAACAGAACTCTCTACCGCACTAAATCTCATGCCAAACAATAAAGCACCAGGTCCCGATGGCTTCCCTGCTGAGTTCTACAAACACTTCTGGTCCATTTTATCCCCACTCTTCATGAAAACAATAACTGAAATAAAACAAAACTCTAAGTTTCCGATACATATGAACACAGCTTTAATCTCACTTCTCCCAAAACCAAATAAAGATCACACCTTGCCGTCAAATTACCGTCCTATCTCATTAATCAACGTAGACATGAAAATCATCAGTAAAGCCCTCGCACTTAGGTTAGAAAAAGTCACACCTCACATAATTCACCCAGATCAGACCGGCTTCATTAAAGGTAGACAGGCATCCAACAATACACGTAGACTGTTCAATTTAATCCATTACTCATCATTACAACAGGAAGACACCATCATAGCCACTTTAGACGCAGAAAAAGCTTTTGACAGGGTAAACTGGACTTTTCTCTTTCATACACTACAGAAATTTGGCTTTGGGGAATCATTTATTAACTGGATCAAGATTCTGTACACCTCACCATCAGCCACCGTCACTACCGGCTCTTAACTGGAGTACGTAAGAGGGAGCACATTACTCCCATCCTGGCCTCCCTCCACTGGTTACCCGTGCATTTTAGAGTTCATTTTAAGATTCTTTTATTTGTTTTTAAATCTTTAAATGGTCTGGCTCCATCTTACCTCTCTGAGCTTCTCCACCCCTACACCCCAGCTCGGTGCCTCAGGTCAGCTGATCAGCTGCTCCTGGAGGTACCAAGGTCCAAACGGAAGCTCAGAGGGGATAGATCTTTTTAGGTTGCAGCCCCAATTTTATGGAACGAGCTACCCCTCCAAATTAGAGAAGCCCCCACACTGTCCATTTTTAAAAGTCGTCTTAAAACCCATTTTTATTCATTGGCTTTTAACCCTCCATGAGACTCGGCTCCTGTTTTAGTGTTTTATGGTTTGTTTTTAGTTATTTGTTTCTATGTTTTTAAATTAGTTTTTAAAAACATTGAAACTATACTTTTAATTCTGCTTTTATTTTATCCATTATTTTAATTGTTTTTTTGATTGTTTTTTATCTTGTTGTTTTGTCTAGTTATGTACAGCACTTTGTACAGCTGTGGTTGTTTTAAAATGCTTAACAAATAAAGTTGAGTTGAGTTGAGTTGAGTAACATCACAAAGATTCACACTGCACAGGGGGACCAGGCAAGGATGCCCACTCTCTCCCTCCTTATTCACAATTTTCATCGAGCCCTTAGCAACAGCCATCCGTCAAAACTCCCATATCCATGGAATTAAAACACCCCAAATACAGCACAAAATAAGTTTATATGCAGACGATATTTTACTTTTTCTTCAAAATCCCCGATCATCTCTGCAGGAATTAATAAATCTCTTTGAATCATTTTCCCAAATCTCAGACTACTCAATAAACTGGAATAAATCATCCATCCTCCCATTGCACAACACCAGATGGGATGCGACAGCCCATACATTACCCATTCCTCTATGCACGGGTCACTTCACATATTTGGGTATCAACATTTCCTCCGGGTTGTCAGAGCTGATAGAACTAAACTTCACTCCACTACTTAAAACAATAGATGACGACCTCCAACGCTGGATGAAGCTACCACTATCCATTCTAGGCAGAATAGCAACAATTAAAATGACAATACTACCTAAAATAAATTATCTTTTTTCAATGATCCCAACCCATCCCACTTCCACCTGGTTCAACTCTCTAAACTCGATAATCACTACATTTTACTGGAAAAATAAAACACCAAGGATCAAACTGGCCACACTTCAAAAACCAAAATTACAAGGCGGATTAGATGCACCACATTTCAATTATTACTCTCTGGCAAATCAACTACAGTACATATACAAATGGACACACCCCAATTACTCAGATCACACCTGGTTAGACATAGAACAGACACTCTGTAAAGATATCCGGATTTCAGACACACCATTTCTCAGTCTATCAATCAAACGCCACCCCTGTTTCAAAGCAATAACAATAGCATCTGCTCTGACAGCCTGGTGGAAATTTCAAAAAATCACAAATACCACTCTTTCACCATCTAGCCTCACGCCCATTTGGAACAATCCGGACCTCCTTTGCAACAAAAAAGCACTCAACTTTCACACATGGGCAGGAAAGGGCATCACACACCTTAAACACATTTTCCATAATAACACCCTGGCATCATTTCCCCACCTGGTCCAGGAGTACGGCATTGGGAGTAATCAATTTCTGGAATATTTACAGCTTAAGTCATCTGTCAAATCAAAAATTAACATCAGTTCCACAAATCTAGACCTTTCACCTGCACTATCAGAATTTATTAATATCCTTTCCCCCAAAAACTCCTCTCCAAAATATATAAAATAATATTAGAATCTGACAAAATCATATCTCTACCATCACAAAAATGGCAACAAGACCTGGCAATTGCTCCTGATGCCGAATTCTGGACCCAAATCTGTAAAAACATTTATCTTATGACTAAAAATGCTAACTTACAACTCATATAATATAAGACTTAACAGAACTTCACAGAACTCACTACACTGGACAAAAAATGTTTAAAATGGGCTTCACCTCAGAAATTTGCACCCACTGCACTCAAAACTGTCCCGACACCTACACTCACGCCATTTGGCACTGCACCCCAATCAAGCACTTCTGGAAACTAGTCACCGAGTCATTATCACACCTCATGGGCTGCCGCATCCCTTTATCCCCCTCACTTTGCCTTCTAGGAGACTTATCATCACTCACAATAGACAAAACAAACAATAACCTTCTTCTCGTGGCCCTAACTATCGCCAAGAAAACTATTCTCATGAACTGGAAATCTAGGAACACCATTCATCTGGCCCACTGGAAAAACCTGCTCATTGACCACATCTCTCTCGAATATACACCTACCCCCCTCCATACTACAACAGAATCTCAATCCCCCTGGTCCACTCTCATCCACTTCTTAACAACTTAAACACCCCAATTTCCATCCGACCAATTTATCATTTTTATTTATATACATTTTTTTTCTTTTATATTTATTTATTTTTCTGTCTGAGAGCCAACCAATCAATTATACATAAATCTATCCATTCTATCAATTACATCCCTACACATGTTTTGAATACACACGCACACACACGCAGACACACATGCATACACACACCACACTCAATAAAACACATTAAGGGGAGGGGAATGAAGAGGGAAAGGGAAAGAGAGGGAAAAAAAAAGGAAAAGAGAAAAAAAGAAAAAAAAAAAAAAAGAAAATGTGCATATGTATATGTGTGTATGTATGGTATGGTGTGTGTATGGTCCCCCCCGGGTCATTGATGTAGCGGTGGTGGTGTAATGATGATGATGGTGTTGGTGGTGACGGTAGTGGTGTGCCGGTGGTGGTGGTGATGGTGGATTGGTGATCGTGATGATGATGATGATGGTAATGGCAGGGGGTGGCGATTGCTGTGGGGATGTGGAATGACAGAGGTCGTTGTGGTGTGCAGCGGTGTGGTCTGGGCTGGGGGTTGGCTCGGGTCCCTGTGCCGCTGGAGGGTGGGCTGGCTGGTACCCATGGTTCCCCGGTGTCCTGAGATTGGCTCGCCCACCTGCCTGGACCCGGTGGGCGCAAAATGTGGGGATCCTGTGTGGGCCGCGGGCCGTGTCCCCAGCCCCTTTTTGGCCCCACTCTGCCCCAGTTTCTTTTTTTGGCCCCGGGCCAGTTCCATGTCACATGCATCTCCGACTTTTAATGCATCACACACCAACCCTTCACACCCCACTTTTTAATGCATACATCACAGTGAAGTTTTTAATGCACCACATGAACATAACACAAGAGGAGAGTCATGTGCGGCCCGGGGTATTTAGAGGTGGAGTGGGTGGTCAGTTTGGTTGGCGGGTGGCCGCGGGGCGGGGCCCTGTGGGGTGCCCTGCTAGCGTCCCACCACGGTGGACGTGGGTGCTGGTCGGCCTGCTTTTTGGGTGGTGCGGGGGGCCGGGCCAGCCTCTGGCCCGGGCCATAGTGTTGTGGATTGTGGTGGCTTTTGTTGTTCCATATCCTCATTAGTATGACTGTCATTATTGTTAGCGTCGTTGCGGTCATTTGTTTGCTGTCATTGCTGTCGCCGGTATTTCTGGTGTTGTTACTGCTAATGCTGTTGTGGTTGTTGTATCGTCGCTGTTGTGTCGGTGATTCGGGGGGATTGTGTGTGTGTGGGTATATATGTGTTTACATATGTATATGTGTGTATGTATGTGTGCATGTATGTTTGTATGTGTATGTATATGTATACATATAATTATTATTATATAGATATTCCAATGTAATCCAATTAAGTTTTTTTTTCTTTTCTTTTTAAATTCTCTTTTACATATTATATAAATTCCTTCCCCCCTCCCCTCCCTCACAAAAGAATTTTTGTAAATTTTTTATTTTTTTATCTTTTTGTTGTTGTTTCTGTTGTTGTCGTCACTCTGTTTTGTTGTTAAATAAAATTAAAAAAAATTTAAAAAAAGTAAATGCAATGTGACATCACTTCACTTTGATGATGTCATAGGAAACCTCAAAGCCCTTTGAAGTAAAGACAAAGATACTAGACGGAGAAACTACTTAGAAAAGAAACTACTAGACGGAGAAACTACTTAGAAAAGAAACTACTAGACGGAGAAACTACTTAGAAATAAGTAGTTTAGAAATTAGCAGAAGTACACAGCCTCAGTAAGAACATTGACTTTATTTTAGATGGTGCTTGAAGATAAGCAAGCTGTCAGAGAACAGCAGGAGCAATCTCTTTGGAGAAAGGAACTCCGGCGCAGAGTGGATGAAGAGAATGAGGAGATGGTGAAGGAGAAGAGACTGTTGCGAGAGAAGAAGATTCAGGCTGAGAAAGAGGAGAGAGCTCAACTTCGAGCCCTGGATGAGTTGCATGCACATCAAGCTGAAAAAGCAGCTCAGTTAAAGGCAGCCAACCATAAACGTCGTCTCGATGATATAGCTGAGAAAAACGTTTATAAACAACAAAGGGAGCAACAATCCATTTTGGAGGATAGGAAGATAGAACGTGACCGGTCTGAAATAGAAGAGCAATGGCGGCAAAGAAAAGAGTACATAGATCCCCGGTTTGTGCAGAGGCAGTTTTGCATGGATAAGGTCAGATGTATGTTGGAAAAGGAAGCGAAAAAGAAGGAGGAAAGTCGGGCCAGGGATGAAGAGAAAGTATGTGAAGAGGCCAAAAAACAAGCAGCGATGGGACAAATACAGGAACAAATACAGAGGGAGAAGAGAGCCCAAATGCTGCAAGCTGTTTCAGCTCACAATGAAGCGCAGATGCGTGAAAAGGTGCAGAAGCAGCTGGAGGAGAAGCAGAGAGATCTTGAGGCCCAGAAAGAGGACAACAGGTTGTACTTTGAAAGGGAAAGCCAGAAAGCTAAATCTGCGAGGGCAAGAAACATCCAATTTTCTGATGATAATGTCAAATTACATGCACAGAGACATGCCCCCCCCCCCACCCCCCCCCCCCAAAAAAAAAAAACATTCAGACAAAGGAGGAACGTCCTTCAACAATGAATATAACCATTGGCTGATACACTCCTCATCCCCAGACCACTAACATATTCAAACACCTCCAATTAATAGCATTATTCTGTACGGTTTTCTCCTGGTTGCTCAGGTTTCTTCCCACAACAAAGTCACACACACACACACACATGTTTATATATGCATATGTGTGTATGTTTGACTGAATAGTTGAAACCCCCCCCCCCATCAGTTTAAACATTGAAAAAATAAGCACAAAAAAGCACAAGCATAAAACCACGGCCCACCCTCAGGAACTTTGGACATCCACAGCAGTGCAGCAGCAGCTGTGCTAGACCCCAAGTCCAGCTAATAACATTATTCTCCAGGTTTTCTCCTGGTGCTCAGGTTTCTTCCCACAATCAAGTCACATATACACTCGTATGTTTTTATGTGTATGTGTGACTAAAAAGATTTAATTAAATGTATATTATCCCCTCCTCGAGCTACCACCTTACCGTGGTGGAGGGGTTTGTGCATCCCAGTGATCCCAGGAGCTAAGTTGTCGGGGCCTTTATGCCTCTGGTAGGGTCACCCATGGCAAACAGATCCTGGGGAAGGGATCAGACAAAGGGTAGCTCAAATAGACCCCTTCATGAGGGATGAAATAATTGGTATCAAGTTTCCCTTGCCCAGATGTGGGTCAATACTGAATTTTTCGTGACTTACAAGGTTTGAAGTTTTTCAAATGTCTACTGCTCTGTCCTTTTTCTTGTATGAATAAATACTTGAAAAAGGATTTTTGTTGTAGGTGTGCTCCTTGTAGGTATAATATCACAATGTTACTGGTATTATTTGAAGTCTCTGAAGAATGTAATCATAACTTAACACCCTGGTAGCAGCCCCCGCAGCCCAAATTCCTCATTGGAGAAATCTGCCCTCTCTAAATTATTCAAGTATCAGACAGGTTTGAATAAATTTAAATGGGTTTCAATTAGTTTGAAAAATAAAATAATAAATCATCACTGAGTGATTTTAAAATGGGAAAATTTTAAATGAATAAAAATCCTGAATACACCCCATAATGTCCTCAATGAGCTGACACATTCCTCTTGCTTCAGTTTCTTTTCGTTATATTCTCTGTCTTTAATGTCAGCCAGCTTCTCCTCCTCCTTCCTCCGCTCTTTGGCCAATATGATCTCAGTATTGACTCGATTAATCTCCTCCTGCAGTCGCCTCTGGTCCTCTTTTTTTTTCTGCTTGACGTTGAGATCCTCCAGCTTTATTCTCTCCTGCTTTTCTCAAGCCCACTTTTTCTCTAGCCTGGCTGGGCCATCCTGTTGCGTGAATCACTTGCCGTTCCTTCCCACAACAGTCTGGACTTCGGCCCATTGGGAGCGTGTATTCAGAAAATAAGTCAGAAAATAACCGGGCCAATCGAGACCGTGTTTCCACTGTTACCTGGACAACAGGGAAAGGCAGCCCCTCACTTGTCTAATATAAAAATCATCACACTGACTGCCCCCTGCCTCATACTGGACATCTGCTTGTCAAACATGTTATTCTATGAACGGTTACATGCTGCCACTCCGACATCTCAGCATTCCGACATCCCGCCACTCCGACGTCTCACCATTCCGACGCAGCTTTCCATGTAAGGGGGGGGGGGGGGGTTGGTTATGTGACATTACAAGACAGAACAAAGTCTTTTAATGTCACAATGTGTGTGTGTATATATGTGTATATATATATATATATATATATATATATATATATATTCCACACACATATATATATATATATATGTATGTATATACAAAAATGTATGTATATATGTCAATCTGCCCCAGGGCAGCTGTGACTGCTAAGGTAGTTTATCACCACCAGGGTATAACTGTGTGAGTGAATTTATGTTTTTTTTTTGTTTGTTTGTTTGTTTTGTTTTTTCAGTTAAGAGGCATATTATGCACTGTTGGGAAAAAAGGGAGCACCTGGAGGAAACCCTTATGTGCGACCTTTAGTGTTGCCAACTCCTCAGTAAGGAAAGTAGCTATTGGCTGTCCTAATAGTTGATAGAAGTCGCTAAATGAAGTCATCGCCTAATTTGCATACTTGGCAAAAATGATCACAAAAAGGGAGTAAAAACCACCCCAAATATGTTTTGAACTATAAATGAACTTTCTCCTGTTTTTTAATGTCACAAAACCAACCCTCCTCCTTTATCCGGGCTTGGGACCGGCAAAATTGACCCAACTGAGACAATTTGGCGGAGTTACTGGGTTTTCTTTTTTTTCATGCACTTTCATTTTTCAGTATCATGCACTGTTGGGAGAAACCGGAGCACCCGGAGAAAACCCTGATGGCCTGTGTGTGTTTATGGCCTGTGTGTGTTTAATTACACCATTGAGTCTGGGACAGTGTTGTTTTCGTCAGGCAGGACGAAAACTTAAATGACGACGTCAGACCCCTTTTTTCCTTGACGAAAATGAGACTAAGACGAACGTCACCAAAGCTCTGTAAAGACTAAACTGACGAAAATTGTATTCATTTTCATCAGATGAGAACGAGACGAGACTAAATTGTCATTAGGTGGACGAACAAAGTTTCAAAACATGCTTTGTTTGTCCTAACAGTCATGCCCCCATCACACACGCACCAAAAGCCTCGCTCGCGCACAGCTGCGCGCACACACTCATACACATACACAGAGCGGCAGGTGGACGAGGCGCGCGCAAACACACACCGTGGCGGCAGGCACAGCAGCGGTGCCCGGTGGCTGAAAAAAGAGGGATGATTTATGGTCCTACTTCAGATACAGTCTAAGTGACAATAAAAACAATGTCTTGTACGGGGACGGGGAGACGAGACAGACGACAGTTGTGGAGCCACAGCTTCCTCGTGCTGCGGCTTCAAACTGTCGGGGAAAGAACACCACGGACTTCAAAACGCACCTTTTCGTCGACTAAAACTAGACTAAAACCTTTTGAGTTTTCGTCGGACTAAAACTAGACGAAAACTATCAAGGATAGAATGACTAAAATGGGACTAAAACGAAGAAGCATTTCGTCAAAATGACTAAGACTTAAACTAAATCTAAAATGCCTGCCAAAAACAACACTGGTCTGTCCATAGGTATCGCAACCTCGGACTCCATCATGACCACTATCTCCTCTTCTTGAGACTGCCTCTCCTCAGGTTGGTGGTATTCAGAGCTGAGGGTGTCCATAGGTATCGCAACCTCGGACTCCATCATGACCACTATCTCCTCTTCTTGAGACTGCCTCTCCTCAGGTTGGTGGTATTCAGAGCTGAGGGTGTCCATAGATATTGCTGCCTCGGACTCCATCATGACCTTGTCCCTAAAGGATCTTTGGGGGACCATTTCAGTCATGAAGGGATGTTGCAGGACTTCATGGGGTTTGATGCGCTGCTCTGGGTCTGTATCCAACATCTTTTTAACAAGGTCCATGAACAGATGGTGATCTTCCTCATGTCCTCTCTGCAGGTCCATCAGCTCTTCGAGGTCATCCAAACTGTCAAGACTGTGGTACTTGAGCTGAGGCAGGTATCCTGATTGTTGTTCAAACTCCTCTGGTGACTTCAGTCTCCAACGCCGTGGGGCGGCATCTTCTGGAGTAAAAAAGTACCCAGGATTCAATGACTTGTCCACAACATGATCTTCAGGCTGCCCCTGTAGTTGTGTGATGTAGCTCAGTACATCATACTCCGTGTCTCCGGGATACAGCATGTATCCAGTGGCCATCTCTGCAGCTGTCACACCAAGAGTCCACATGTCCACAGCCTCATCATAGGGAAGCTGCATCAGTACTTCTGGTGCTCTGTAACACAGGGTCTGAACCCACGCACCATCATGACAGTCTGATACTGGGCGAGCCAGGCCGAAGTCTATCAGCTTTACTTTGAGCGGCTTACTATGACGGTCTACATAGTATGTAGGAGTAGGATCTAGCAGTAGCACGTAGCAGTAGCATGTAGTATGCGAGCGGGCAAATCGGACACAGCACGTATGGGAGCGGACACGGATGAGGGATTTCTGGGAGAGGATCATTAATGAGGAATTCACAGACGAATTGTGGATTCAAAACTACAGAAAAATACAAATACAATTCAAAACTTCAGAAATAACTCTGTCTCCTCCCCCGTCCACATATACCGTGCCATCTTTGCTTGAAATTAACTGGTCACATGACCCGCTACGTCACGTCCGGTGACAGAGAATTGCGAGAATAGTGTTTCCATTACACTTTTGCGATATACTTCTATATCGACACGTCTGAAAAAGCACCTCATGAGAGCTTAAAAACTTTTTAGCGATATTTGTGAGGTTTTTCGAAATTTAGATGTTTCGATTACCAGTTTTCTATTGCGATATTTAGGTTTTGCGCAAATCTATCGGTAATGGAAACGCAGCTATTGTTACGTTTCTTTTATTAACGTTTATTTGTGTTTAAACTGGTATGTTCACTGTTCATAATGTTCCTAAAACAACAAAGCTCATATTAGATACATAAATGCATGATTTATTATGCAATATTTGTAAGCGTACACTTCCTTGTATCTTCATTGGTTATCTTTCAGCATTGAAAATTCCAACAATACCCTTATTTTTGTGTGTTCTGGATCACACAAAAATCATTATCCGGAATTTCGTCTGGATCAGGCTAAACCTTTGACACCTCATAAAACTCATTGAGATCCTTTTGTGTAATTTTTTACTGAAGACTGGCCATTTTTATAGAGTTAAATGCAAAAATTTCAACATTTGCCCTATCTCACAATGATAAAGAATCCTTCAAAAAATTCCTGGATCCAGAGGGCGATCCGGATCACCGCCAAAATGTAATGGGATCCTCCTGGGGCTGAGACGCACCTCTGGTGAAAATTAGTAAGTTGCTAACAGACAAACAAACAAACAAACAAACAAACAGATACATGCTGCCACTCTGACATCTCAGCATTCTGACATCTCCGAAGTCTAACTATTCCGACGCAGCTTTCCATTTAAGGGGGAAGGGGGGGTGGGTGTGCATTCACATCTGGAGTTGGTCATTTAATCCCGAGCGTAGCTGGGCGCGCTCCGCGCCGAACCCGCACAGGGGGCTCCGCGGCTGACCATAGCAGACGAGAGCTGTTGGAATGACGGGACGTTTGATAGCATGGTAACATGCCGCCACTCCGACAATTAAAGACCAATGTCGGAATGGCGGGATGTCGGAATGGCGGTTGCCCCCCAAACAAACCAACGCTACCAAAAACATAACCTCCTTGGTGGAGGTAATAAAACAACAACAAATAGTTGTTTTAAAATATGATAAAAAGCACTAAAAAAGCATTTAACAAATGCCGTCCCATGCTGGGTCAAAAGCCAAGGAATAAAAGTGGGTTTTTTGACATGTTTTAGAAATGGACAGTAGTTAGCATAAGAGTAAATGCTACATAAGGCAAAAGCTTTTCTCCAATTCGCTGCAGGAAGAGCATGCACCATGTTTAGGGCAATATTTTGGTCAGTTTAGATGTTAGAGTCTACTGATTAGTGGCATGTTTTAACTGAAGACCCTCCATTCGATCCACACAACATTTTGACTTTCAAGACTTTAACTTGAACACATCAAAAGGACCGAATGACTGAATGGTAAAAGGATTTTTATTGTTTACTTTCAGCCTAAATTAGTCACAAATATCAAGCTGCAGAATTTGTGAGCTCAAACTTTTTCAGGCTGCAAAGTCAAACTAAAATCTCACTTCAGTGTTCATGTTCTTAATAAATTCAGCCAATTAAAAAAACACAGTTAACATACAGTTTAAAACCACTTTAGTTTTATATTCTGTTATTTTATGGGAGAATGAGAGGTTATTTTTTTCCTCCATGCTCTTCACCAGCCAAGATTCTGTCACTGTGTGTACTCAATGTGAATATTATACAAACTATGCGTGTACTTACTGTATCTAGGGTATGTACATTTTCATTATCAGAAGGTCACATAAGGTAAAGACAAACAAATCTAGACTCTGTTTATTTTTGCGTGTCTGTCAGAATATTGTGCAAGCCGATCTAGCTGTTGGATCAGGTGTTTATTTTGGAGTTGTTGATTTCCAAACAGAACTTTTTATAGACATAGGTAGACATTTGGCCTTCACGCTAAATCTGTATTTATATGATCATGCTTTCCCCAACTGTCTAAACTCCTCTTATAATAAGCTGTTAGGGGAAATGTCAAAATAATAAAAAGCTGATCTTTACACTTCAGATATCTTCTCTGTGTTTGAGTCCTTGTTATGTCATCCACTAGGGGGCAGTGCATTCTAGTCTGTCTGCTGACATGGGGGTCAAGTGAGAAGGTGCCACACAGTTCACCAAAAATGAACAAAAATGGCCATAAATTCAAATATTCATGAGAAATGGAGGAGCTACACTCATTTTCATTCTCTGAGGATACTGAAGTGAGGATTAAGTCTGTGCTTCAAGGTGTTTTACTTTGTGCTGCATTTATATGTTTTTCTGTTTACAGTCACATCAAACAAAATGAGAGAATACAGATTTCATCAGCTGTGTAGATGGAGGAACATGTATGTCAGCATGTGTTGTTTCAGAAAGCCTAAACTGGGACTTACCTTAGTCATAGTGCAGCCCAGATTTGAAAGGGCCGCCCTCCTCTAACTGTATCTCTGTATGTGTATGTATATGGATGTGTGTGCGCAGACCTGAAGCTGAGTTTGGCTGGGACAGCGGCAGCCTGAGAACCTGCAGGACATCACATCAAAGTATATAGTGCTTTTCCTTATAAAATTTGAACATGTCAATATTAAACAGAGAGTCCAGAGCTTTGAGCCTGGACCTGTTTTTCATGTCACAACAGAAAATTTACAGGATCAAACATCTCTCCCTCCTTCTCCTGCTCCGTCTTGCCACAGACAGTTAAACTTTTACTCCTTCTTTTCTCACAGAATCCCAAAACAATTCAGCCCATAAAATCCAGACTGAGTTTGCCATATGTGATAATGTATGGCTCCCACGGGTGCCCTGAAGGAAAATTACTGGCCTGGAGACAGGGATAGACGATGCTTGTACTCTTACTCTCCTCCCTGGAAAAAAATGAACGTGCATGTACCAAGCAGGGCTGGATGAAGTTTGATGTGGTTGGGTGGTGCTGGTCAAACCTTGTTATACATTGTGTCTGTCAGTCTGTAAACCTGTCAGAGTGGGAGAAGCACATGAGGCTGCAGTGACTACACCTCTGTAAAACAATAAGAAAAAATAGGGAGGGTTGGGAGTTATCGCTTTCTTTATCCTGTTGAGTTTTGATGCTTGTAGAATTGGTCCTCAGTCCTAAGAAACACCCATCTTCCCAGGAATTAAAAGTCCTGTGGTTCAGGTTCAGTGTCCTCACATCAGGACAGGTCTCCAGGGCATTTTTTACACACATGAATACACTCTTTGAAAAAGCTGAAGGTCTGAGGCAAAAAGAGAGTGTGTTACAGTAACTCTTGTTTCTTGTTTGATTGTCACGCTCTGTGCCGTCTGCCTGTCATTCAGCCCGCGGCTGCCTCACATCAATGACCTCTGTTGTCCTCTTCTGCTGAATCATCTCAGTCACTTTGCTGGAAGTGAATATAGTTTCTTCTCCATCAGTACAGCATGTTCATACAAACTGGAAAAAGGTCATCTCTTATCACAGTTTATTGCAATATTGTGTTGTTGTTTTTTTTGCAGAGTGATATATAAAAAACTGGGTTAACTCTTTTATCCAGGTTTAAAAACACAAACGTTTGAATACAGTTGGTGCTAATATCTGATTTCTCCATGATTTGAAGTCCTTTAAATCTCTGTTTTAATTCAATTACATCATATAATCGAGACTGAGTTTTAATCAGTGTTTGTGTTAGTGAGTTTCATCCCTGTGGTTTATTTTTAAGCACGTCTGAGAAGTTTTCCTTGAGTGAAACACATTAAGATAAACAGTGTAGTCACTGTATAACTCACAGAAGCAAAATCAGACTATTTCTGAACTGTGATCTTTGATTTTTGTAACCACTGTGAGGGAGTGTGTGCCAGACAAGATGATATACAGTCTGCTGTGCCTTTGTTACTTAATCCACAGCAAATTTTCACAGTGAGTGTAACATTTCACTGTTAAAAGAAAGCACAATGAGTCTTTCTGTCTGAAAACACTTTGTGCAAATGTAAAGAGAAAAGTGGCATGTTTCTAATCAAACAGAGGAGCTTCACCTTTTATTATTTCTTGTATTTGATAGTTTTTAAAATCACAATATCCCAGTTTGACAAACTCTGAAAACACATTTTTGCTCATAGTCTCAGTAACTTTGTTCTTCTTTAAATGCTTTTGTATACAAGGCTTTATAAAAATGAAGTAAAATTGAGGTTGTTGTCTTGAAATGAAAACAAAATTAATCTCATCTAATGTATCGGAAAACAATACGTTTTTATTTTCAGGGTAAATTACAAACATATGTAAAAAAATACATAACTGTATTCTGCACATGTATAACACTCTAATCATGATGTTAACTCACATACAAGAATAACATGTTTAAAGACAGAAATATAACTTTCTGTAAAAAATGTTGTTATGAATTTGCACTGTATGACCAGAGCTTGATTGAACTCACTCACAAATTCCTATAAAGGATGGTATGAATTAAAGCTGTACTTCATATGCTATTTTTCCTCTATGATGACCCTGATTCAAAGATGTGTGCACTGTTATTGAAGCTTACACTTCCTTCATCATTTTTTTTGTTATTGTTCTCCAACACTTCCTGGATGGAGGCAAAAATTATATA